TGCCGGCACGGCGATTTCCGTTCTTTGGGAACAACGGAAATAAAAGGTATTTGAGGGTTTTTTTTGGTTTTATTTCTTTCCGGATAACGGAGATGGACATCACTGCTGAGGCTTGTAGGCGTACGCCACCATTGTATTATAGCGTTGAGAGCTTTTGTCCAGTCTAATTAAAAATAATCTGAGCAGGAAGGCTTTCACAGCTTCCAGTGTCATGCTGGTAAACAATCCGGTAGGTTTCGCTGAGTCAAATTCTGATTTGTGGCATCCTGGAAACCTCGAGTAACGCCGTTATCTTTCACGTGTATCACAGGCCATGAAAATAAATTATTTCTCTTTGTAGTTCTGAAAAAGCACCTGCCATCGGGGTAGCTGCAGGCAGGGGGAGATAGACCGCCCTGGCGTGTTGCTAAAGCTGCTGGCTCGGGAAAGTCAGCTCTGGAGCATCTCGGCTGCAGCATCTTCCCCGTCCTCTGCCGTGTGACGCACTGTATCAGGCACGCCACATCGCAAATGCTGCGGGAAGGTAGACTCTCCCTCAGTACTAGAGTACTAGACCCTTCTTCTAATCTGTCTATACTAGGCCTTGTTTTTTTTTTTTTTCCTTCCCCCTGCAGTCCTAAGCTGTTCTTGAAGGAGTTGAGCAAACTGGGGAAACAGTTAATCGTTTAAAGGGCTGATTTCTTTGGGAAGATGAAAAGGCCCATATTGCTAAGTTATGAGGGCAGGTTTGAATACTGTCCGCAAAGACTTGAATGATAAATCTAGGGCAAGAGAAAACTTGTCTAAAGTCGATCAGCTTAGTATAATCTGAAATAATGGGATAAAGTCACAAGGAGGAAGTAAGAACATTCTCTGTACAGAGGCCAGATCCTTTCTATAACTTATTCTAGGACATGTCTCAAAATCTATTAAAAAGCTAGCTTCAGTCTGCGAAGAAAAGAAGGAAAATGACTTTTGCTCTCACTGTCCACAGCGCATAGCTGCTTCTGCGTGCGCAGTCAAAAATCGCCCCTTTGAACATTTATAACCTCAGAGCTAATTGCCCCACAGTCACTTTAAGAACCTTTTGCAATATTATTGTTTTCCTGGTGCTGCATATAATCCCTCATGCATTTGGGCTGCTTTCATCTAGCTCTCTTATCTTGCATTTTTTTACACTGAGTCTCATCTTATTTCCTGCACGCATTCTTCAATCCCTTAATGTATGTTTCTGGGATTTTTGTGTTGTTGCCTGCTAGTGTTTCAACAATTCCCAGTGTAGTGTTGTCTTCCCATTTAATTAGTTCACTGTTTAGTTTCTGGAGGTCTTTGATACAGAGGTATGTGAAATTATCCCAGGCACCACCCTTCCACTTAATATTATTGCCGTTTTTATTACCCTACAACTCTCAATTAATTTTCAAGGTATGTGAAAGTGCTTAGATCCAAGCAAACTTGAATTAATTTTTCAAGTAACATTTTTTGAGGCACTGTATCAAATGCTTTAATAAAGTCCAGATATATCAACTGCATTTCTGGATCAAACTGCTTTGCCTTTGTCTTTTGTGCTCTGAGTTTTCTTATCTGATCTGTATCTGCCTTGAGGTCAGCTGAAACTGCACCTAATAAGAATATGAAAGTCAGCAGTGGGAAAGCTTCCTGTAATTCTAGCATGAAAACCCTGTAAATTGCGAAGTTGAGCGTAGCTGAAAAATAATAATAATAAAAAAATCAATTAAAAATGCTAGATATGAAGTTAGGATAAAATTTACATTTTTTGATTAAAAACCATCAGTGAGAAAAAGGAATGCGTAGTCACAGAAACTTCTTTGATAGTAGTTGCTCTCGTGAGCAAAGTGCTGTATAACTGCATCCTGCACAAGCAAGGTCATCTTATGATGTGACGTGCTGTCCCTATACAGTATTATTTTTCGGCAAATGTACACAGCGTGGGGAGTCACAGCAGCGGTGGCTGTCCCTGCCCTGATGTGTCTTGAGACACTGCTTTTTCTCCGGAAGGACGCAGCTGGTGGTTACCGTGTTTGTATGCCCCGTGGCACTTGCAGTCCCTGTCCTTACCCTTGTGCCAGCGCGGGAACTCGTGAGATCATACCGTACCTCAGGTCATGGCGATGGTCCGGTCGAAACCTTTTCACTTTTTTATTAGTTTTTCTGCTGGACCAACTCTGTGAACCAGCTTACTGTTGCGTCGCGTAAGCTCTGCCGCCAGCGCAAGGAAAACGGAGGTGGTTGTGGCCGGTAGAGGAAATGAGGCTGGGACCACAGCAACTGGGCTTGTGTGCGTTTATCTTACTAAGGAACGAAACCCTTAATGATTTCAGTCCTTTTAGTCTTCAGCTGAGTTGATGTTAAGAGCTGACTTTTGGCTGAACCAGTATCTAAGATTCTGGATGTTATTCAGCAGAAGTTGTGCTATCAATTCTGAGCAAAAGTGGCAAACACATTTTTCCACTTAAAATAGTCATCCTGCAGCTGGTAAGAATTGATTTTTAGCATTTTAAATATTGGGCCTGATTTACCCAGTGCAGTGTGCCAGTTTTATGCTGGTGAAAGACTTAATCTAAGGGAACTGCGGCAGTGTAAAATGAAGTCGCTGATGAATCAAGCCCCAAATGTCGTGAAAGACTCCTCGCTTTTTCACCGGGGACACGCTGGCATCCATCCCTGTGGCAATGAGGTCCTGTTTAGCTGTTTTAATTCTTTAGAATCTCTATATTGCTGTGCAACAAATGTGTTTAATTAAATTTACTATCTTGCTGTTTTATTTATAGGTAGGAAGAAAGTTTTCTCTGATGGACACATTAGGCAGGAAAGGACAGGATGCCAATCCGCGCACAGGTAAAACAGGTTAGAAAAGCGTTTTTATGTTTATGTTTCCTGTACAGTTCAACAATGAAGTAGCTCATTTTGAACTGATACAAAGGTCATTGAAGTCAGACAGCTCTTTGGTAAGTCCTTGTGGTTTAGTATATTATTCTGGTTGACATCAGATGCTTATTGATGATATTTTAATATGAGGATTTTTACTTTTACCAAAGCCTACTTAGTGTATTAGTTTCTGGAGTGCATTAAAGTTACTAAGCCTAGAGCTCATTTGGTAAATATTTAGAAAAAAAGAAGCCTGCTGCTTTTCATCCTTCCCTGTGATTGTATCGCAGGACACTGCAAATCAGCTTCTGCTTTCTTCACGTTAAATGTTTTATTTCATGTGATGTGTTTCTGAATAATTTATAATTAAAGTGCTTTTTTACCTTTTCCCTCTACTGTAAAAGCTCTTGCATGCGCTCTCCGTTGCATGCAGTACAGAAAACAATGTTAATTTTCAGAAACGTTTGCATGCTGTCGCAGGGAGCTGCAAGAGGAAGAGCAAGGATTACGGTTAGGACCAATTCCACACGCGAGTCATGGCCATATACAGCACGTGTTGGGCTCTTGGCGCGTTGCATAGGAAAGATACTGTATGTGGGTGCAGGGGGGACCTTACTTGGCCGTCGTTCCCCTCCCAGCCCCTCTCTGTGCTCTTGTAGCTGCTCAGTATGGTTCTAGTTCAGTTGCCCCGAGAAATGAGTCGAAGATCCAGGATTTTCTACATGTGAAGCTGCTTTCTGTTGGAAGGGGAGAAAGACCAGGGGGTGGACATCGCCCTGGGGTCGCCCTGCTGATGGTTCCCGAAGCGGCAGTGGCGGCGCTGTGTTGGGGCACGTCTGCCCTGGGTTTTGGCAGGGATTTAACTAAACTTGTTGAAAACGGTGTTTAAAGAGGTGCAGTCTTCTAAGGTGGTTGCAGCGGCAGGTGTAAATGTGTTTGTACAAAATTCACCTTCTAGTCAACAGCCTAATTCAAACCCTTTCCTGTTGTTATAGCTGAGAAAGCACTCTAGGAATTGTACTAATCTAACTGGTTTTTTCTCTTTTTCTTCAAAAACGACTTGGCTAAAAAAAGGCTAAATGTGAATTCAGCAAGTCCGTTGCTTCGCGCAGCCCTGTGTTTCCCGCGCGCCCTAGTCACAGCGAAGGCGGAACGGGAGGGTGAAGCGCTCGTGCGGCGCTAGCGCGGGGCAGGCAGAGCTGGCGCGGCAGGAGGCTCGCGAGGAGGCGGGACGGCTGTGACGCACGTACCGCTTGGGGGCCCAAAACTGCCTATATGTTATGGTTACGCTGGCCACGTTAAAGCACCTATGGGGGAAAGCGTAGCCAGAATTAATAATCACAAACAGTGGCGATTAGTGTAATTAGTGAATAACAGCATCGCTGTTTGCTCTGGGGCAGTGACTTTCTGCCGCCCACGTCGTCCTTGCCTTTTACTGACAAAGAAAAGCTGTTTCTGCGTGGAATAAAAGATTCTGCCGAGCTTCAGGAGCTTCGTTCAAAATACGCAGCGCACGTTTCAGTTGCTGCTTTTATTACATTGGCAATGTCGATTTGAAACAGGAGTGGTTATTTCTGAAGTCAAATCCTGACCCGGGGACGCTGGTAAGAATTTTGTCGTCGGCTTCAAAGGGGGCAAGATTTGATCCTTGATAATGACAGGGACTTGTTTTCTAAGCCGGTTTTGAAACAACTACTATTGGTCAGACCACAGTGTTATGTATATATGCTCAAATCAATTTTATTCAGAATAAGCAACAGCTGAAGGTTTTGGGTTTTTTGCATTCATACTGTTGCATCTATGCAGATGTTAAAATTGTAATTTTTCTGTTCGGAGCTGAAATGTTGACATGGGAACTTCTTAGAGGTTTAGACAAACTTTCACATCTTCTCCCAAGAAATACGAGATTCGTATTTCGTATATTCGAATATATATATATTCGTTCACTTGCCGTGAACCTAAAACACCCCTTGCCCGCCTCCCCAGGAGCAGGAGCGACCCGAGGTCTAGAAGAGCTCCCATGGGAGCAAACCGAATAGCCGAGGAGTCCCCGACCGAGAGGGGCACCCGAGCGGGGATGCCGCGGCCGGCTCGGGGGCTCAGCCCTGAGCCGGCCACGCCAGGCGCTCTCCAGCGTTCGAAGGGGCTGAGCGCTGCCCGACCGG